TCTCTCTTTGAATATTAGGAAATTAGTAATTCCTTAAATAAAGCTCATCTGCAACTTTTAAACGAAACGAAAAACAAAATAGAAGAGAAAAAAAGAGACGTTACTCTGCAATAATCCTCTGGAGAAAGCAAAAATCGCACGGCGTCTTGGAACGCATAAAAAGTCAGTAATGGTTCCCTCCGACTATGACAACGACGAAAAAAAAATAAGAATGCTCTTCTCGCAGTATAGTTACTTTGGATTTTCTCTCTCAGGGTGTGGTTGCGAGAATATGTGTACCTGCACACGCAGTGATATCGCGATCGATAGGATAGCGCCGTCGCGCAACTCGCTCTTTGCTCAACTTTCTCTTGTGCTCTCTTACTCTGATTACTTTAAACTCGGCTGGCTATTTTGTTTTTTAATTGGAAAAGTTTAGGTAGAACTCACTTCGAGGAAAATGAGAGAGTGCTTTTCGAGACAGAAGAATTGTAGACACTATAATACGCACCTGCTTTGTTGTGCTTTCATTAGCCGACAGATTTTTGTTGCTAAGGTCGACGGATAGAATCTTTATTTTTCAAACTTATATAATGGAAAATTAAGCTTAAAAATTCTGATGATATTCTATTTTTATTTAAAGTTCTCTCTCTCGCTCTCTCTCTCTCTCTCTCTCTCTCTCTCTCTCTTTCTCTCTGTCTCTTTAAAAAGATAAATCACTTTGGAGTGAGTGCATAGAAAAAACTGTTAAGTTACTTACGCAATTAAGAAACGAAAAGAAGTTTCGTTGAAAGTAACAAGATTAAAAAAATTAGTGCAACAAAGTTATGGCAACCTAGGCCGCACATGCGATTCGGATTAATAGCACCCCTCTCCCTCAAGATTTAGCAAGTGCGTTTATAATTGATCGAGCGCGTAACCGTTAACGTCATTACGGCATTATTGCTTATTCCCTTTTTTACGTGTATGTGTTGCCGAAGATATTTCTGAGAAATGGCATGTAACGAACCAACTTGCTAATGGTATATCGAGTTTACTTTTACTAATTTTAAGACGGTATAAAATACTGTAATTGACGATGAAAGAATAACAAAATTTTGAGGGTAACTTTATTAAACCATAGTTAATTAATTGACGTGGTGTATGATTATTGCTAGTTTCAGTACAATATTGTGTCAGTACCATCTACAGTAGTTTTCCTATTCGTGAGCGTATGTTTAATAAAAATATGGGGTTAAGTGACCCATTCAACAGGCATTCGATATAATTGAATATTTTTAATAACGTATTTTGATTATGATATGTAAAATTTGAAATAACTATTTTTTAAATAATTTTCTAATTATATGATTATAAATGAAACAAATCGAAACTTATTTTAATTTTTCAATAATCTCGTTAAAAAATTGAATCGTACATAAATTCTTCTTTTTCTTTCGAATAGTTCATTTAGTAAATGAATTGATTTATTTTTTAATTTATTTGGGAATCCGTAGTTCCGATTTTCACTAACTTTACTGATTTCAGCAGCTCTGATTGATATTTTAACTTATGTTGTATATTTTATGACAAGAAATTTGAAATTTCGAATGAGGAACGATTGTCGAAAGAAAACGAGTCATGTCCAATTACAGAACATCCAGAGCGTTCTTTAAGAGATAACTGTCTGCATAAATATTTAAGCAATGTTAAGCACATCTAGAAAATATATTTGCACAAACCTATGGCAAACGAAGACATAGTCGCCAAGAAAAAAAGAATTGCCGTAGATGAGAAAAACAGCGTTGCATTCTCGAACACATTGATCTCATCGACTAGTACGCACATCCGGTCGAAAGAGGAATATATTCAAAATTTGTCCAAGGGGAAACAAACTTTTTCCAAACTCCGATGGTCTTGCCTGTGATGCGCGCAGCTGCGCGTGGTAGGCGGCGAAGCTTCGTCGCCTCCTCTATTCTTGCTGTACGCCATAAGTTTAATAGTATATATTCTGCAACTTCACCTTCCGCCTGGATTTTCATCGCTTTTTGCGCAACCCAGTTTTCAGCTTGAACTAATTAACTATATACCTGCGCGTATTAAAGCTCGAATCGAGGATTTTGACGTTATGTTCATCGAGGGAATTCAAGAGAACGCGCACTGCACGTCTGTCAAGTTGACAAACGTTTATGGCGCGACGTTAATTAACGAATTCTCTTCTCCGCGTGGCACGGCAATAATGCACCGAGCGACCGACAAGGTTAAATCGACTGAGAGTTTAAGTAATAAGCCACGAACAACCTCTTAATTCACTTTCCTCGCCGCGAGTGGAAGACGCCCGTGAGGCAAAATAACAATGACTCAGCTGGCTCGACAGAGAAACAGAGGGTCAAAGTCCCGCGGGAGACGTTATACTGCAAACGCACAGCGGCGGCGTCGTCGGCGGCGGCAGGCGCATCTGTGTCAAGATCAGTAGTGCACCGCCGTGGGTGTCTGCGAGTCCGATGATTTTAGACCGAGCCGCCGCCGCTGCTGTCCCGATTTTCCCATTCGGATGCGTTTACGCGTGGGCGCACTCGAACCAACATGCCACGATCTTTCTCGTTCCAGTTTTCACGCATCCCCCATTATATACGTTTATATACTTTTCTCGTTGCGCTTCGTCTCAACTTACGTTTCGGTAAATCAGTAATTTACATCACATACACAATATAAAATCTGTCTTCTCATGTATATTCCGAGACTCCGCGAGTGATTGACAATTCGATTAATATATATATATATATATATATATTCAGGTCAGAGTTTACATTTTTCATGACGGTATACTACCTTGCACTCTAGCCTCTGATATACAGGATATTTCACCAGCATGTATAAAGTAAGCTTCGTATTGTACTCATCGCCACGACTGAAAAATGAGATTACTTCGGACTTTGTTTTCGGGAAGACAAGCGTTCGGGTAATTAATGCGAGTTTATCGCGCGACACATAAATACTCGCCGACGGCCCAGAAGCACGAACGAGCACAAAGAACGCCATTGTAATTACTGCAAACATTAATTGTCGGTTATTTTCGAATGAAATAAAAGTTTTAAATGGAATTTACGCGCGCGTTGACAAAACTAATTTTGATAACAGGGTAATTGAAATAGTTTTCCATGTCGAATGATTTGGTAAAACGTCGAATATTTCGCTTCGACTTAATGTACAACAATTGCCTGACAAGCCGAACCTCTGACCTACTTTACTCCTCAAGCGCAAAAGAGAGTCCATAATCGACTGGCAATCATCTTAACAGGTTTCCCTTCGAACTCCGAGTCAAGTGACATGAAGTTGAGATCCGTCAATGATGAGAGAGACAGAGAGAGAGATAGAAAGAATCGTCAGCCGGAAAGAGAGATGGGTTCAAAGTCCCCCGAGCAATGCAAAATTCTGTGCCAAGAGCAGTGGATTTCGGTTGTGTATATGCTTCATTCTGGCCTTGTCACCCCATAAACGCGTGGGTGTGGAAGGGACCGCGCGTTTCGACGATTTATTTTTGCTTTCAAGGCACGTCATTTCTCGATGTCAGTTCTTTTTCATTTTCGAGTTTTTTTCAAGGTTATGCACAATTATCGCTCGTCACATTAGAGAACGCTGCCCGAGGTTTGTTTTTTGGTGGAGAATGTAAAAATGGATTCTAATTCAATCAGAGTAAAAAAGAAGTACTAGTGCGATGAGAAAAGCCGGAAAAAGCTGAAATGATAGGATGACATCTCCGAGAAAAGAACGTAAACGATCAAAGTACTCACCAGGGTTTATGAAACAATTACCTCGCTTGATAGCATTACAATAGTATTTCTAGAGTCAAAACAAGAGAAAGAAAACCCTCAAACGTTTTCTCAAGTACAAATTTAAAATATCGTTTCAATAACGCGCGAATAATCTCGGTATCTCTCTTTGGAGGTTTCTCTCTCAGGCGCGCTGTTTAAAAATATATATACCTACGGAATTCTCCTTCGGAGGCTGCCTGCCGTTTCGGAATTTTATCGATTCAAATTTATGTGCGGTAGCAAGATTCTACTGAAAACTCCTCGACCCTTCGACGACTTATTACTATTGTTCTTTCGGGGGTTTCTTTTCTTTTTACCTTTTACTTTTCCAGATGGTTTAATTTGGACCGCGGATCAAACGCTTGTTCAACTAATGGTTTTGCGAATTATTTTTCTGGGCTTAACGAGTCGGCGCTCCTGTAGTTATTAATTCTCCGAGTATCTTGACTCTAATTCTTTAGAACCATTTTAAGAATCGCGTGATTTCTCTCGTTTTCAACGAAAGTACAAGCGAACGGGCAGTTTCTATGAATAACACACGTAAAAAAGAAAAAAATGAGACAAGCAACGTTCTTCAGTTACACATTCTGTCAGCAATATTCTTTTCGGACTCGTGGCTGTGTTTGACACGTTCCTTTACGTCAAACAAACGAGAAATCTACGCGCGTAAATTTTTCTCGAAATAGAAAAGTCGATGACCCGTGGCTCCGTGAAAAAAAGAATGTTAACGACTCGTCGAGAGGTGAATTACACTGGAATTCCCAGAAGTCAGAGCCCCGAGAGAAAATATTTAAATTTTTCAATTAACGGACAGGTCACCAAGTTATAAAAGGGGAAGTACGCTGACAATAAAGTTTCGCGCTTCAATCTGTTTGACGCTTTTATCGAGAGGCAAAGAAGAAAAATGAAGAGCGACACGTAGCTTTTCAAAGGATTAGCGCATTAGACTGATCGACTTGCTAATGAAGCAATTTGAGATTCAAATGCGGCTAGAGAGAACAGTTTTAAAAGTCGCGCAACTTTCGCAAAAGAATGGAAATCTAAAGGGCTCAGCATTGTTTCTTATTTTTTTTTTATCGAGCAGCTTAGCCTTATTTACCAATCTCATTGCGAATATCGGCTTTTCTCCCTTCAACGAGATCGACGCTGTTTGCTATTCATAAGCTACGAGCACCAAGGCGAAAACTGATTGATTTATTTACGTTTTAATTGGTGTAAAGCTCTTACCGATAGAGATGATGTTGGCATTGAGCATGGATAGCTTGATCTGGTCGGATATGGACGCGAGGCTGTGTCCTGGATTGAGATGTCGTTTGCGAGGCGGCTTCTCCGACGGCCTTGGCGCGCTTCGGCTTCTATTGTGATGGTGCTGGTGCTTTCTGTGCGAGTGCGTGTGCGAGCTGCCGCCGCCCGTGGACGTTGCCAGTGTACGATCCGAACCGGCACTGCTCAACTCGCCCAGTGTCGATGTGGCGCGCAACGTCGACATCTGTCTTTAACAGATAAACATATGGCCAATTAAACAATTTCAATATGTTCCGTTCAGGTTATGTCTGATTTTATTGCTATCCATACGCAAATTTCATAGTTTGCGTGTATGATAGAAATAAGCAAGCACACTCATTTATTATTTAAAATGGAAATATTTTATAAAATTAGTAACTTATATCCTTTCCTGAACGATATTACATTATTCATTAACTATAAAATAACTTTTCTCGCAATGTTTCCTAATTTATATTTTGTTCGAAACTAAACTTCTTACTACCGGACAATTTTTCGCTGAAAACAAGGCAAAAATTTTCCTTTTTTTCACTCGATAAAAAATTGCACTTTTTATATTAAGAAAACTTCTAGGTTTTTCTTTTATTTCAGTTATGCGTAATTTACGTTGTGTCCCATTTTAAGAAAAAAATTATCTTATATTAAGAATTTTCTTTTTGCTGTGGTGAGAAGCGCGAAATGGTAAACCATAATCTGAAATGATTTTTCGATAATTCAAAAAAGGAAATACATATTGTCTAATGAAAAATCAATAAGCTCATAATTTAAATTTACGGTATAGTTAAATCAATTTTTCTTAAATCAAGAATACTTTTTTCAATAAGTCAATATTTTCTTAATATAAGAATTTCCCTTTCATAATAAGATGTTCTTAATTTAAAAGAACTTTTTTAGATTGCAGTAAAATTAAAAGTTGTTTTATCTGCGTAGTAAAGATTAATTACTCATCGCCGGTTTGATTTACCTGCAATTTTGCAAATATTTGCGACAATGCTAAATCGCCTGAGGTACGATCGAAATGATTAAGGGATTCACCGTCGGTGCACTTGTGTGAGAAGAAAAGTTCAGTTGATTTGAATAAGTTGACAACTTCAGTGCAAGACTGTCACGCGTTTTGCACACCGGATTGGGATATATCTACGCGATTGTCCGAATTCCAAAAATTGCATATGTACGTGTCGTCGTGAAAATTACTTGTTTGGGATTTTCTTTTTTATTGAATAGCTTAACGTTAATGTTTTAATAAAAATGAAAGATTTTTCAATGGATCGAACGCGAATTAGTGAAAGAATGCGCTTTTCGCCTCAAATGCGATTCGCAGTCTGAGTATAATATTGATTGTATAACGCGTAAAAATTAAACAGAATCATTGTTCGATAATTCAAAATAAAATATTTTTAATAAAATTTAATTCGAAAGATGAATGTAAACAATGATTGATTTTTTTAAGCTCTTGAAAATTGATATAATATTGTGAGATAATAAAACAAATTCCACAATTCGTAAATCCGCCCTCGAACACAAGCGACTAAGCGAATGAGATGGAGGAAATAAAGAGAGAGAGAGAGAGAGAGTAGCAGCTAAGCAAGTGGTAGAAACGAGCCAGAGAACAATAGAGAGCCAAGTCGTTTGGCGGCTGAAACGCTAATTGACTAATTGAAATTATTATCATCCTACTTTGCGCGCGCACTGCAGTCGAGATGCTTAATATCAGAGGGTAGACACCGCTACTTCGACTAGATCTTTATTTCCATTAATGGAGCTTTTAGGTTTGTTTCATGTTGTAAGCAGGGAGTCATTAATTGTTTTTATGTATGCTTCTGAGTTATTTTTAATTTATTTTATAGTACAGTGCAGGTGTTATATGATAGATCTTAATTTACGTAAGGCTGAGAGAAGACAAGAAAAGCTATTACATTTACTTTTTCTAGCAATGAAATATATCTAAGCTCAAAGAAAATTCCACTTGATAAAACAATATTGATACAGAAGAATTTGGCTACAAGAGTTTTTCTTACTGATAGTTGAATTACTCTCGATGTAAAACAATAATCTTCTTGTAGCAAAAGGACTTGTTTTTTTCTCAGTGTCTGGGTGATTGAATAATTATCAATGTCTCCACTAAAATATTAAATTACATTTTTATATTTATTACACTTTTATCAGTAAAAAAGCATGCAAACTTTTTATTAAATTAACGACGAAAATAACATTTATTCCAAGAAAACTTCGTCAGAATGTTTCATCATCTTGAGTTACTACGAGAATGGGAGTATACATTTAAAATTCTCCGTTAGAAATACCGAATTCTAAGCCGAGAGGCATTAGCGAAAGCTGCCCCCCACACGTTAGAATCGTTCCAAACTTCCTCCTCGTTCATATAGCATCGGTTTATATCTTTTACTAAACAATTTACACAACACACTTCTCTGGCTTACCGTATACCTATGCGTGTGAATATGTTAACAAGCTACATGTTCACGCACGAGTGTTGCCACTAATGAGAGGCACGTGTATCGTGCTACGCTGTTTCCTTTGAAACTTGGATATTCCTTCATCGTAGTCGTCGAACAGATGCTTACTCGAGAAACGACGTTCGTTCGCACGTCAAAAAGAAGAAGTTCGCACGTCAAAACGAGAACACCATTATTTTTTTTTACGCTCACTTACTTTTCCTTCTTATTTCAACTTTTTAGGCCGGACTTTCTCGAGAATATTCCGGTTTTGACATCTGCACGATAAGGGAAAAAAATGTAAAAGATTTGTTCTAATTTGACCAACGTCTAGGAAACATCACCTTATCATATTTTATTTTTAGCTCCGCGCACGGGTATCTTTAGAAAGCTCGGCGAGAGAGAGAATTATTTTGCAAACCACGCGAGAAAAAAAAATTAGACGTAATGAACCAATTTAAGAAGCAGATCTAGTTTCAGCGAGCCAGAATATATTGGTATTTTAGCCACGCGGAAATAGTACGACTTTGAAATGCATTTTACGCATGCACGAGATTATTAATGGAAAATTACGTTTCAATTTTAATTTATTATATTTTTATGACTTTTGAAAGTTCAATCAACTGTAAAGCGATTCAAGTGTCGAAATTTCGTGAAGAACTTTTCGAAAAGCCATTATCGGACAAATTGAGATTAAGTAGGTTATAGAATTATTAATCACCAAAAAATTCCAAAGTAATTAAAAATCTTTTAAAGCTGTTAATGACTTTTAAACTTGATTATCATTATCATTCGCGAGAACGTCCGATTTTCATTTTCGGTAAATTTCACTCCTAACCTAAACATAGTTATTATATTGGTTATTTATTACTATGTAATTTTATATAAAGCATAACAACATGTTGAAAAGAACCCTCCTGTGACATCAGAAATTTTCTTAGTATAGTTGAAGACGAATTGTAATACAAGGATCACTCAATATTCACTTTTTTCTCAGTACCAAAGGGTAAATTGTCCAATGTATTTCCGACGAAAATCTCGATCCGACAACAGCAGTCGCAAAAAGAGAGTATATAATAACAGCGATAAAGCAAAATTCGAAAGACGAATAAAGAAAGGAAAAAAAAAATTGCACGTGTGAGCAAACGAAGAGCAGCCGACCGCAGGGCATTTGCGAGCGAGCGAGAGCTTTGATTTTCGATCGTGGTGATAGTGTCACAAAGAGCTATCGGGCGTGATGAGCGCCAGCCTACACGGCTAAGTGCACCCGTTCTCTCACTCTCTTTTTTTTCCTAAAGCTTTTTTTCTCTTGGGTCCTTACTACTCTCCATTATCTCGCTACGAAGCTTTCATCGCGTGACAGCCATTTTGCGCTCGTGCGGCCTCACTTTCACTATGTTGAATTCGATTATCGAAGCTTGGATTAATTTAATGGAAACGGTAGCCCGTACATTTTTTATCTTACATGTTTTAGATCGAATGTTATGAACGGAAGTTTATGCCATATAGTATTTCAGTATACTGCCAAGAAAAAAATGATGACCGTAAAGTCTTCCTACGAGATTTGTAGAACAGCATAGTACAAAATCGACAAACAGAGCTTTACGAAAATACGACGATATTCGCTGTTCCTGAAAAATCCTACAATTGCGCATCCAACAGAATATTCAAAAGCACACACGAACAAACATCACTCACAGCTCTATTTTCTGTTTGACTTTTTGAAAAATACTTGAACGGAACGAGCAAACATAAAATGCGAAATTCGAAGAACATTCGTAACATTTTTCGAATCGAATAAAAGTCATAAACATATCGCAAGCTTTAACTTTTCTGAGCTTGAAAGAACGCCGTACGTGTTATTAGCTGTTTAAGCTATAAAATAAATTTATTTGACGATCAAAAATAGAGGGAGTCTTTACCATTTTGTAACTTGCGTAATTTTGAGTTTTTTTATATACAAAAGAAATACTTGATTCAAAATAACCACATTCGAAAATTTCCAAAATGAAAAAAAACAATCCTGACAAGTGAATAATGACCAACTAAATGTCAGCACACAAGAAAATCCCATAAAGGTCAATTAAACGGGTATTTGGATGCTTATCACGACAGCGGCCGAACGGCAGTGATCCAATCTACGGGCCATTACACTACAACGGCGGCGACCCCCTCGAGCGACCGAAAGCAAGCAAAAAATAGAGAGCAAGAGAAACACGTGTGAGCGCCGTCTTAACCTCTGACGAGTCAAGGCAAGAGGCGGAGATTCCAAGGTCCGTTTTATTTTTAAGTGCGTTTTGTAAGAGCCAGATATCGGCTCGCGTCGCAGACCACGGCCAAACCCGTTTCCGAGCTTTCGCGCGAGCTTGCGATACATTCCGCGCTCGCGTTGGTTTTCAATCTGTTGTTTTTTTAACTTTTATCGGGAATTCTTCTTTTTTCAGTTATGACATGCTTACTAGTTGTTTTTCTTTTCGTTTGAGCTTTTCTTGTGGAAATAATGATGGATTTTTTTATTTTTTGATTGACGTGCTTCAGGGTCGCGATTTTCACTTCCTCGTTCAAATTTTACGATAGACTATATTTAGCTTTAAGATCATTTGAATCGCGTTCTGTTGGGATATGAATACTTCGTGAAAATTTTCGAGTGTACTATTCAAAATATCAATGATTGAATGTAGATTATATGGGAGTTGATTGTAAGTCTATTTCTAATATATTATCTTAATAATTTTATTGTAAGTTTAAATTGTGGA